AGGTAATTCATCTCTCTGAACCTCAGTTTCCACAAGTGGTGATAATGTCTAACTTACGGGACCATCCTGAGGACCAGGTCTCATGATACAGAGGGCACAGTGCCTGGCATGTGACAGGTGCTTCATAAATGTCTTATCAAACTCCAGGTCTAGGTTTTGCCCTAGGGCTACAGCAAAAAGGCCACAGCTGGGGTTCACAGACAGCAAAACCAAGACCCACCTATTGCAGATGCTGCAGTGATGTGTTCGGGCTGGCTTGGGGTAAATGCACTTCTTACAGATGGAGACTGTTGCGATATCATTCCTACCCTGTGCAGAGACAAAGGCATCATGACAACTATGGCAGCATCAATTTCATATCTCAAAAGATACCAAGACACTCTCCCTCCTCACTGCTGGGTGAGACTGGCTCCCAGGGCCTGCAGCCCTCCCTCCCTCAAACCCCTGTAGGGACCCACCTGGGGTGGATATCCAGGTGGAGTGGTGATGGCCTGGTAGTAATGGAAGACGATGAGGATCAGGTTCCAGTGACTATAGAAGAAATGCCAGCAGAGTCGTGGCACTGAGTAGGTTCGAAGGATGAGGGGCAGGACACATAGGTAGGCAATGGCCACGATGGAGCTGGTCAGCACGATCACCAGCACCACAAATACCTGCCAACACCAGTGAGGTCAGGTGGATGCAGTGAGAGATCTTGCCAATGCCCAGAGTAACTCAAAATGTCCCTGGGGTAGGGGCTGGTATGGGTTCATCAGACACATGTCCCTCTAAACCCCAAAACATCCCTCTTCCTGTTCTCTGGGCATCACTCACCACTCCACACCAGCGGATCATGTTGTCCACCAGCCAGTAGATGGGCTCAAAGGCAGCATCCACAGCAGTGTCGCTGCCCCCAAAGGAGTTGTAAAGCAGGGAACGCAGGCAGACTTTGCCATAACGCCAGCGCTGTACCAGGCCCCGGAGCAGAGGGGGGCAGCGGCGCCTGGAGCCCAGGAGCAGAAGCAGGCGCAGGCAGAGGCGGGCGGGGCCCAGCAGCAGGCTCCACTGGCCCCGCATGGCTCCTAAGAGAGAATACTATTGTGAGTGGCCAGGCTGGGTCCTGTCCCTCCCTACCCTATCAGTGGGGAGAGCCTGAGCACCAGTTTAGAGGCAAATACCTAAGACTAAGGCCCAGCTAGGCCAGTCACCAGCTGTGGGAAATAGGAAAGTCACTTCACATCTCTATAGAATGTGTGGTGCCAATGTCTCAACCCAATTACAGGAGGTAGAGTCTGGAGGTTCTGAGCGGGCAGAAATCATACTTACATCACGTGGTTGTACAGCAAATCCAAGATGATGCACACCTAGAATAAAGGGTCACAGCAAAAAGGTGAAAGAGAGGTAGACAGCTCCAAGCCAAAGTAAGGTCTTTGGAGTTGTCTGTGTAGGCAGGCCACTGGGTGGAGCATGGCTAACGTGCACAAAAGTGCCCACTGTGTCTCTGTGGGCATGGCCACTGTAGCAGAGGTTTTCCAGGGTCCTTACCTGTCCTGGCCCATCAACCTACCTCCTAAAAATTGCTCTTGACCAAGGAACAGGCCAGATGGCAGGAATGAGTGCACAGCATGTGGACCTTGCACCTACCTCTGAGTCTTGGCAAAAGATACTTATACTTCCTACTCCCTCTGGGCTAATGTTATAGGCCACCAGACCCAATCTGGTAGCATGAGAGTCCTGTCTCCTGTCAGAACAATTCAACTACTCCCTACGTGACATAAGATGCTTCATTCTCCAATTCCAGTCCCAGCCACATCCCAAGGATACAGAAGCCAAGATAACTTCGGGTATTCAGAAGAGAATAACACTACCAACAGTGGGAGAGGGGCCTCTATGCTGGGCTCATGAAGACCACAAGGCCTGCCCTCTCAGTTGAGTTTTCCCTGCCCTGTTCTAGCTGAACACACAAGAGCCTTCTCTGTAGTTGCTGCCCTTGGCCCCAAGCTTCCCAACCAGCCTTCCCAGCTCTTTAGCCCTCTGCACGGTTCCTCTGCAAGTACCTTCATCTTCTCTATATGGTTTCAATCTCATCCAACAGCCACAGGAGGTCAGCTGCCCATGAATGAAGACACAGATTCTTTTTTTTTTTTTTTAAGGTGAGGCAACCTTTGGTTGACCTCACAGATTGCAAGGACCCTGTCAGTTTACGATACTTTATTTAAAAAATTTTTTTATGCCTACAGCATCTGGTATTCCTAGGTGGTCTCCTATCCAAGTACTAACCAGGCCCGACCCTGCTTAGCTTCTGAGATCACACGGGATCAGGCTTGTTCAGGGTAGCATGGCCATAGACAACACAGATTATTTCGATGACAGTCTCATCAACTCTGCAGATTAAAGTCCTTAGCGGAAAAGAAATTATCTGATTTTCCCCTAGGACAGAGTATTCTCCTCAGCAACTCCACTGACTTATTTAACAGGCAGCTCAAAACCCAGCAGAAACTGGAGGAGGCTGCTCCACTGTAGGGATAGTGTCAGTTCAGTAACTGGAGCAAGGTAATCTCCTTGCAAACTGGCTCATCACCACCAGAGGCCTGTCAAAAAAACCCACTTAATTATCTTCTTCCATAAGCCCTGTAATGACCTAAGGGAAAAAGAAATCCAGCAGAAAAGGCCAGCAGATAAAGACTAGACAATTCAATAGGAACCTACTCTCTGCACCAGGATAAAGAAACTGGCCATTTCCATTATTATCACCTCCTAGGAGCTAGAGAATTAAGTAGGGGGAAAAAAGGAAAAGTTCAAACTTCCTAACTCCTTTGTGTTGGACCCCTATTGTTTGGAACCATGATTTAGCTTAAAGTATGAATTTTCAAAATAGTATACAGCCACCACAATCAAATATAAGAGAGGGACAAAACATTTTACCCCATAACAAATCCAAGTGACTTCAACTGTCCAAACCACTGTTCATTCCCTTACTATGGTTAACAGTTTCCTATTTGCTAAAATACTTTTTATAGCAATAGCATGCAAATAAGACACATTCCTCATATGTCATAAACACGAATTATATAGTATCCGTCCTATCTACAAAAAAAAAAATCTTTCTTCTCAGTTTCTCCACTTTCTGGATTGTTCTCAACCACTTCCAGAATTCCTGAGCTCTACAGAAAATTCCTGCCTCAAGAACTAGACTTACCAACTCTCAGCTGCCCCACAACTTGACTACTTAGGGTTCAATTCTGCCCTTAAGTGGTTCTGTGACCTTGGGCAAATTACCAGATCCTGCCAGGACTCAATTTCCTTGTGTTCCCATTCAGTGAGGAGATAAAAAATAAATGTTAACGTCTCTTCCAGCTCTAACCCTTTATGATTCCACACATACACTTGGTAAAGTATAAATGAAATCTTTACAGAGTGCTTAGCACAATACCTGCCTCATGGACGTGCTCAATAAATACTTGTTGAATGAATGACCTGGGATGCAGAAGTGGAGAGGCTGGTCAGATGTCTATCTGTCCTACCAATAACAGCAAGGACATTCCTGCCATTAGGATAACACTGAGTAAGTGTCTGCTGCTATCATTCTTCGTTGTTAGAATGACAGCACTTAAGAGCTAGAAGGCATTGTAGAAAACAAGTCTAATCAGAAATTAACCCAAACATGTAAACAGAAAGCTTGTAGATACAGAGCCTCAGAGCAGATTTGAGTAAACAAAGTCTGAAGCCAAGCCCCCACTCATTTTAGCTAGTGAGGTTTAGGGGCTATGGGGAAGCCAGGGAAGAGATATGTAGTCTGCGGGGCCATAACTGAACATATGGAGCTGTCATTTCAGGAAATTGAGGTAGAGCAGAATTTGAAAACCTATGTATGGGGGTGGGGAGGTAACTAGAGTGAACAGAAGAGGAAACAGGGCAAAGCACAGCTTCACTATCACCCCAAGCACAAACCCTGAACACTCTGATGCCTCAGTAGTAACCACAGGCCATAGTGACATCTGCCACCAGATTAGAGCGGATTGCAGGCCATGGCACTCTCCTCTTCCCAAGGCTCTAAGTCACCATCTGTTTCTCAAGGGAAAAACTGATGGAGGGGTGGAGGCATACACAGGAAAGGATGGATTCCAAAGCCACCAGAAGAGGAAACCGATGAAAGTCATAGCAAATCTCATTAGGACAAAGACGCTGCTCTCGGGATGTTTGCAATCTCAAGCAGCAGGTGTCAGTCATCAGTAAGAGCAGCATTTTATTTGTGTGCAGACTTCCCTTCCAGACTAATATGCTAGGAAAAGAAAAAGTTAAGGATGGGCCCACACGACTCTTGAAGAGTATCCGACAGTAAGAGAAGCTGCAGTTACAAAAACTGGAAAAAGGTTTTGTTTCTCAGTATGGGTGACATGGTCAAAGTGCGATGGACTGGAAGTCAAAAAACTTGGGCTCCTCTTTGCGCTCTACCTTAAACTATTTTCGAGACACTGGGCAATTTAAATTCTATCTCTGGATTTGAGTTTGCAAATCTGTGAAATGGGCGAGATGGGTTGGTTGGCCTCTTTCCATCTTCGCGTGTTACGGCTGCCCGGAGGGTGCACTCTACCCAGCTACAGCAGGGCGCGGACGCGCAGGGCTGGGCGAGCAGATAGCAGGAAGCTGGGCTCACTATAAGGCCCCGGAACAGGGCCCGACCCTAGAAAAAGGGACAGGACTGGGGAGCAAAGGCCGCAGCTTCGCTCTTACCTGCCGCCTGCTGACTCCCCAATCAGCTAAATCGATCCCGCAACCTCTGCTCACTGCCACCTGGTCCAGCTCCGCGCCCTGGGCGGGCCCGGCTCAATCCAGCCAACCATGACCTGCCGCCCACAGAACCAGCGGGCAGACCTGAACCCGCCGAGAGCCCATTCTCAACCACAGGCGCAAGCGCAAGCGCCGGCATTCCGGAGCCCCGCCCCCGGAGTCGCCCCAGGGGAACCTGGGAAATGTAGTTTACCTTTCATAAAGTTGCCGGCGGTCACGTGCCAGGCGCACCAATTGGCGTGTTTCTTACTGAGGAACTGGATTTTGGCCAATGAGAAGTCGGCTTTGTTTTTCTCGGCGTTTGGTGGCAGTCATGGCGCCACCCGTGAGGTACTGCATCCCTGGTAAGTGAACGGTGCCCATAGCGAATCCTGGATAGGGACAGAGGAAAGAAGGCTGGATGGCCAACAGCTTCTGGGCACCCGTGGTTGATGCAGTGTTTTTCTTCAGGCGAACGTCTGTGTAACTTGGAGGAGGGCAGCCCGGGCAGCGGCACCTACACCCGGCACGGCTACATCTTTTCGTCGCTTGCTGGCTGCATGACGAAGAGCAGCGAGAACGGCGCGGTAAAGAGGGCGGTTTTCTGTCTCCTGTGTCTCTGCCTTTCCCTTAGGCTGACCTTGATTCCGCGGTCCTTAGACAGTGATACTGCGGACGCGTCTTTAGTTTCTCACCATTAGAAGAGTTGGTCTGTTATGTTTCATCCAGCTGTGGTCCCTGCTGCTGAGAATTTATTTAGCCTGCACAGACCAGTTGTGTTGGTTTCGCTCCGCTGTGTCGCTGACACTCAGGGGAGGAAGTTGCAGGAAGAACAGAGGCGAGCTCAGCCCTCCAGTGCGCTGAATCCTGTCTGAATCCTCTCTGGCTTCATCCATTGGCCAAAATCCACCTCACTCTGCAGTCTAGTTATATACAGGCTTCTTTCAATGTCGCTAATGCGCTAAGTTCTCTCCTACCACAGAGCCTTTGTACGAACGCCGTCTGTACAGAACATGCGCCTCTCCTCCTTAGCCCATTGAATTTTACCTGTCCTTCAGATAGCCTAATCCTCACTTTCTCAGGGAAGACCTCCTAGGCCTATTAGTTGAGAAAAGGAGTTTTGTTTTTTTATTTATTGTTTCTCTTGTTAAACACTCACGAAGAATTGTATCCCTTTCCTTCCAAGCACTTATCTCAGCATATAATTAAACACTCAGTTGTATGTCCCCATTAGACTCTTCCCCTACTAGACTCAAGATCATTAAAGCAGGCCTCACCACCATACCTTCAGCGCCTAGCACAAGATAACTGCTCAATTATTGTTTGTTGAATGCATGAGTAATGCTATGCTCCCTAGTTCTGGAGGCCGATCTAGGATTAACTCAGGGTCAGATAAGCAGTCTTTGAAGGAGCAGCTTAAGGACAGGTAGCAGAGTAGAAAGAAGATTCAGAGTGAGAACACAGGTACTGGCTAACTAGACCTTGATTCTGCTTTAAGTAAGAAACAAACTCTCTGGCTTTAGGTTCTTCCTCATCTGTAAAATGAGAGGCTTTTTATTTAATCAGTTTGGGAATTTCCTTAACATTCCTAAATTTGTTTATTTCATAGATGTAGATATCTGTTGACCATGTTCATGTGCCAGGCTAAGTGCTCACCTCTAGGGGTATGGTAATGAGCCAAATACACATGGTCTTTGCTATTAAGGGGCACAGACACAAATTGTAAACAAGTAAATGCTCAAATGAATATATGGTTACAAAGGAGATGACTGCTTTAAAAGAATACTACAGGGTATCATGAGAACATATCGAAGGCAAATCCGTCCTAGTCAGCAGAAATGACATTTAACAAGAATCTGAAGGATACATAAGAGTTGGATGGGTGGAGAGGGCTCTGTCCTGGCAGAAAGAACAGGTTGAACAGAGGTTCTGAGATAGGAGGAAATTCAGTGGGTTAAAGAAACTGAAAGAAGGCCAGGAGAACTGAAGCATAGTGAGTGAAGGAGAAATTAATGAAAGATGAGGTTCAAAAATACTATCTAATTCCAACATCCAATACTTTGCTCAAAGAGAAAACTCTACAAGTATTCTCTTGAACTAGAAGTAAACAAGTGTGGACACTGTTATATAACATTTATTTGGAAATTCTAGCCTGTACTATAAAAAAGAAATAGAAGCAGTATAGCTTTGGAAGAAAGAGTCAAATTATCTATGAATACAGGCAATATAGTTGTATACCAAGAAATTCCAAAGAAAATCACCAAAAACTTGTTAGAACTAATCTGAAATGGTTAGATTATATCTTCTAGCAGCATTCCTCCTGTGGCCCCTTGGTCCTCCTACTTTCTAAAATTTCTAAGGCTTTCTGCTCTGGGCTACAAATGAGTCTGTAGTCCACCTGTCCTCATGACTTCAGTTGCGGACCACAGCATTTACATCACTCTCAAACCACAAATACCTGTACCCAAACTTAGCCAGGATACTCATGTGTTGTTGGTTTTTTTTGTTTGTTTTTTTTAAATTTTGTAGCTTCCTGTCGTGTCCGTGATGAGAGAAACAGAGTCCCAATTACTGCCAGATGTGGGGGCAATTGTAACCTGTAAGGTAAGTTAGTCGTAACCTCTCATCTTAGGACAACCATCTAATGCTGAAATGATCTTTGTAGAACTGCAATGTTCAGTACGGTAGCCACTAGCCACATAGGGCCATTTAAATTTAAGCAAATTAAAATTTTAAATTTATTCATCAGTTCCACTAGCTGCATTTCAAGTGCTTAATAGCCACATGTGGTTAGTGGCTGCAATATTGGTCAACACGGAACATTTCTGTCATCACAGAAAGTTTTACTGGACTGTGCTCATCTAGAGATTTCTAGGATAATGGTGAATGTAGCCAAGTTCAGTCTTGCATAGTTTTTTCACAGAGCTGGTTCCCTGAGTATGTAGTTTTACCTGCGTCTAGGAAACAGAAAACAGAAGGGAGGTATGGAGGTCTATTTTTGAACATCTGAAGTGAGACCTCTTTCTGCAGAGAAGCAAAAGACTTTACTATTATAGCATCCTTATTACATGTAAAGTCTTTTAAGGCGTTTCATGGGAAGTAGAAATTAATGCTATAATGATCATAACTGTAATATATCATCCCAGATTAAATTAACTTGGAGCTCTTAGCTTCTTTCTTTATAAGTTGCTCCAGTGGAAAATCTATGTGTGACTGTGAAAATAACTGGTGAGGCAATGATCCAGATATTATGCAACAGCTAAAATGTAGACTTAAATTCTGTCCACTTATACAGGACTTTGTTAAAGGTGTAGATTTGCTATAATGCCCTGTGTCTATTTATGTTAGACTTCTGTATTTTTTAGAATCCATACCATATTATTTCTTTTAATTCGTGTAGTAACTCAGTTGGCCAGAATGGCTCTTAGCTGTTTTATATCTGTCACTTATGCAGGGATAAGTAGGAGTTAACTTGCCTTAAATTCTATACTTAGTAGAGTTGCTTGGGTGAAAATCCTGGTCATTCACCCAGAGTTGCTGCCTCCTTGAGCTGACAACTGCTAACATTCTAATGATGATCTTTTCTCTATTCCACAGGTCTCTAGCATCAATTCGCGCTTTGCCAAAGTACACATCCTATATGTGGGGTCCACACCACTTAAGAACTCTTTTCGAGGAACTATTCGGTAAGAAGTGTTCCTATGTTCAAATTTGCCTCAGCACCCTGAATGAGATTGAAATTTTTAGGAATAATTACAGTTCCTACTCCTGCTTATCCTCTTAGTGCTTCGATTCACCCCAGATAGTATTTAAAGAAAATACTATACTATATGAGTTAGGACAAAAGGAAAAGTTAATGAGATAGGGCTTAAGAATACAGCAAAAAAGAATTGAGCTAAACTGGAGATTAGCAGTGTGGGATGATTCATATCAAAGTAGATAGCATTTTAGGAAATACCTTCCTTTCCCGAATTTAATATAAATTAAACCCAAGGATTGTAGGACATTGCAAAGGTTAATGGGTGAAATGGTAGATTTTTTTTTCCCCCACTGTGGCTTCTTTGAGAAGAGACAATTTTCGTGAGCCAGGTAATTTAATTTCTGAGGCCCTTTCCAGCTTCACGATTCCGTGTGATTCTATAGTGCTTCTATTCAAGCTCTCCTACGGCAAGAAAGTTCCTTATCCTTTCTTACCAAATCTAATCTGCTTTTCTGTAATCAGATTTATTGATACTGCTGCTCTGTGTGATCCAAGAATGGAAAATGTGGTTTTCTCTCACTGAGGCCTGATGATGCTTCTCCACCCTGCTCCTCTGAGCAACAGCTGGGTCCCAATTATAGCTTGTTCTCTCTGCTCTTGTAGCTCTTTGTCTGCTGGGCGGCTTCAGGATAATTCTTTCTCAGAGATAATTAATTTTTCTGTTCATTTTTTCTGTTCTTTTTTTTTATAGCAAGGAAGATGTCCGAGCTACTGAAAAAGACAAGGTTGTTGGTTGGTTCTTTTTTTTTTTTTTCCCATGGCTTTGGGAATCTCAATCCTTTTAAATTATGCCAGTGAATATCAAAGATCTGTGGGAATAGAGTCCAAAGAATTTGAAGGTGTTCCCTGCCGGAAAGTGTGGAATTTACATCACTGTCACTTTCCATATGATTTTTGTTCATTCTGTTGACCAGAGAGGGGCTAGTTTACTCTTTGCTTTGAAGCCAGGTATTTATTCATTGCTGTTCCCTCAGACTTACTCTGGACCCTTTCAGAGCCATTTATAGTACCTTTTGCCCAAGTCAGATTCCTGATCAGATTACTGGATCCAGAATCTTTCGTGTATATGATGATGCTTTAAAAGCAATAAAAGTTGTTGATTGACTTGAGTAATGATGACTTATACCCTCTGGTATTAGAAAGTAGGCTGGCTGTACCAGAGAGGTTAATAGTTTCAGGTAGACCTGATCTAGAGCTTTCACTTAACATTCCTGTTCTTTCTTTACAGGTTGAAATTTATAAGAGTTTCCGCCCAGGTGACATTGTCTTGGCCAAAGTGGTATCCTTTATTCCCAGCAGACTTGTGGTCCTTTGTTAAAAGAAGTAATGGAAGTAGAGAAACAACTGAAGTGGCTATAGGAGGGAAGACTTATAACCCTTCATTTTCCTTCACCAAGAATATGTGACCAGATCTCCCTAGGTGACGCACAGTCCAACTACCTCCTGACCACTGGTGAAAATGAGCTAGGGGTGGTGGTGGCCCACAGTGAATCAGGTGAGTTGGTTCATGTTTCCACATGCTTACCTATTGTTGAGAGCTATGGTTTAATCCATTGTTCTCCTTCATTTCCCTTGTTTTAGAATTGTTTAGGAAGCTGTATGAATGTATATATTTACTACTGAGATTAGAATGATTCTCTTTATGTAAATCTATAAATATTCCTCTATAAGTCAGTGGAATAAACAAGTTTTTTTTTTCTGTATGAGGTGAGGTTCACTAGGTAGTTTGGTGACATTTCACTTCATACCCAGCTGAAAAGAGAAGGATCTCAGGCAAATATTTGGGGTACCAGCTCCAATACCAGCTTTTCCCTTTTAGGTGTCCAGATGGTTCCCATCAGCTGGTGTGAGATGCAGTGCCCTAAGACCCACACTAAAGAATTCCGGAAAGTGGCCCGAGTACAGCCTGAATTTTTGCAGACCTAAGAAGTCACAGTTTACCCCCAAGGAGGGGTAAGCTGTTTCCAAGAGTACATGTATGAAAGTTACAGTAAGGTGCTGTTGTCTTTATTCAAACATCTGGAGTCAGCCCCCAACCACCTTTAGAAAAGTCCGAGACTTCCTATGTAGGTGAGACATTTTTCTTGTAAACCTTTCGGTGGATTTCATTCTCTTGAGTGAAAAATTTCTTTTTTGGAGGCTCCATAAACAAAATGTATAAAATGTTGGAAATAGCCTATTCCTTCTGACAATCTTATAAATACGTATTTTTTTGCTGTGACAAAAAGCAAACAAACAAAAAACTCTTTTTTATTAAAAGGATTTTATGGTTTCTGTTGTCTTGAGTAGGGGAAGGAATCTAAACTGTGTCATGACTTGGAGCAGAGGTTTGCCTGATGGCACCCATTAACTGACATGTGTCAAGTGCTTGCTTGCTCTGGACAAAGCCTAATCTCTAATCTTTTTGTTTTTTTATGTTCTCTTTTAAATACTCTGCTAATTGTATACTTATATGTGTCAGGCACTGGGTCAAGCACTTTTCCTCCCCATTTAGTGAGGTTATGGTTTAGTGAAAAACATAGGACACATGGTGATTCAGGTAGCATTTTAGTAGTTCTGAAAGTAACTTGGTAAACAGTATAACTGATATAGTGAGTGCTCTAGGAAACGTTTTTTAAATCTGAATTGAAAAGAGGGACAGCACTATCATGTGAGGTGGCCAGGCAAGGATTTGTGACATGAGGTAAAAGGAATTAATGTAGAAAAGTGAAGATATATTCAAGGCAGAAAGGGAAGCTCAGATGAAGGGCAGAAGCAAGAATGAACACATAAGTTTGAGAACGAGGAAGGCATGAGGGTTAGGCATGGAGAAATTGCAAAGGGAATGGAAGGCACAGTGAATTATGTTACTCCTTGAGCTGTTATTCAAGGAGCCCATGTCTCCTCTGTGTTGTGACAGTGGTTGAGGGTAAGCTTTGGAGTCAGCCCAAATAGATTTGCATCCTCTAGTTCTAGCCTTGAGCAGGTTAGGTGGTTTTGTTTTTTTAATTGAAATTTTTGAGATAATGGTAGGTTTTAAGAAATAATAGAGAGATCCCCTGTACACTTTGCCGAGTTTCCCCCAATGGTGACGTTTTGCAAAATTATACTATAACAATCAGGACGTTGACATTGATACTTGAGCAAGTTATTTTTTCTTTGTTTCAGCTGGAATAGTATGACTGTATAAGATTATTATGAGGAAGAAATGCATAAAAATGCTCAATATATACCAATATTGTTATAGTTTATTATTATTATATGTCTGGTTACCTTCAACGAAGTACCTACTAAATGCTAGACCATATGCTGGACACTTAGATGTAGCTTGTTTAATCAGTCCCCTACTGGTAGGTATTATAAAACTTTACAGATTTTTCTTTTACAATGCTGCAGGGAAAAGCCATCTTCCATATATCTATGCATGCCTGTGATTCTTCTATAACACATTTCTAGAAGTGAAATGCTGAGTTAAAGAATATGCACATTTTAAACTTTGGTTAGATTCTCCCTGTTGTCCTGCAGAAAGATGCTACCAATTCTCTCAAGCCATTTTACTTATCTCGGAACTTCACAGTGACCCTGGAAAGTAGCAATCATTTCCATTTTATAAAGAAGTAAACTAAGGCTTAGAAAAATTAACTTGCCCTAAGTCCACAGACATCAAGTGGCAGAAGTGTTCAAACCCCGGTCTGTCTTACTGTAAAGCCCAGGTGTTCTCTGTACAGGTGCCTTTTTCAAGCATTGAACAGAATGGTGGGCATGTAATTAGAGGCTTTCTAAATTGACAATGGTTCATTAATTATGAGTGCTTATAAACATCATTCATTTAGTAAATATATATTGAACAACTACTTTGCCCACTACTGTTCCAGAAACTAGGGGGTAAAGCAGTGAAGAAAGAATCCTTTTCTTGGGGAGCTAACATTTTAGTGGGGGAAGACATAAAGAAGAACATTTGAAATAATTGGATTATAGCCTTCTCTGATTACTGCAGGCCAAGTTGGATGTTCTCATCCTTAACCATCCAATAGTGTATTACAAGTTAGTTAGGTTCCTGTCCCACCTCCTAGCCTGAGCTTTTAGGGCAAGATTCTCTTACCTTTGACTCTCCAGTTCTTGGTACTATGACTCACACATAGAAAATACTCAATAAAAAATTTGAGTGCATTCAGAGCTGACTGAACAGCTATACCAAAACAGCGATGTTTAGTAACAGTGATATTTGCTAATCTGAAATTGGTTCTAGAAGCAAGGAGAATATTCTTTGTGCCTTGGAATAGTGGTTCTCAGCCTAGGTTATATAAACTTCAAAACTGCCTATAAAGCTCTAAAGGTGGAGGGATCAAAGAAAGAAAGAAAGAAAGAAAGAAACCAAGTGCTTTGTATCTGCCCCTGAATTTCATGGGTGAACCCAAAGCAGATGGTTCGGTTTTTCCCAGCTCCTTGAGTGATTCTGATGTGCTTTCTTGGTTAAGCACTGTCTCTGAGGGATGGTAATTGTTAGAATAAAAACCCTGATTTAGTGGAACTAACATCCTTCATCTGGTTTCAGTGTTTAGTAGTATACCTTCGGGCAAGTTTCTACATCTTTTGTGGCCCATTTCTTTTTCTGTAAATGGGATACCAGCCCTTTGAGAGCTTGCCAAGATTAGAGGTTTTGCATGTAATATGCCTCACCCAATGGCTGGCAGAGAGGAGCTTAAGAGCTTAATAGATGTTACTTCTTCCTTACAGAAGTGAAAGGCCTTATGGGTTTTCTCACACTCCATTCCAGTGACCAGAAAAGGTAAACGCAAGCTATGCCTTTTCCCAATTTTGTTATAATGTAATTATACTCCTTTTCTCCTACATCAAGTCATGGTATGAGGTTCTGTGTAATTTGTGAGGATGTTAGTAAGTTGACTGACAGGGTTAAAACTTTAGGGACCAAAAAGAAAGGTGTGAATCAAAGCTACAAGTTACTAATAGAAAAGGATTGGCTCTTTAGAAAAATCTGATCAAGCCTTTACCTTACTCTAAAAAGGACATAATAGTTTCAGACTTTGACATTCCAGTTAAGGGGTATCCACTAACCAGCACCACTGAGCAAGAGCTGTAGAGAGGCAACAGGGACAGAGAGCTCAGGCAGGAAGACCAGCCTACCCTGACCCTCATCTCTTTAACCTGAGGAGGAAAATCTAGTGATACAAACACAATTTTGGACCAGGCTGTATAAGGTTGTGTGACTGGTTGTCGTAAAGTTCTTAATCCATCATACAAGGACTTAGGTAATGAGAGACATTTCAAGTTGAATGGTCAAGATGATTTCTTCAGATGAGATATTAAACATCAAACAGAAAATATTGCACATCACTCCTTTATTATACTGATCTGGAAAAAAGATTTAGTTGTTATGCTCAAAATGTGTACTGGGCCCAAGTGGCAGGACCAAGCAACTGGGACATGATTCAGAAATCAGTGAAAAATACACTTGGACATGATCAAGAGACATTTCACTGCCATAAAACAATAAGGCAGGGGAGGGATTCTAAAACACAGCAGGATGAACTTCTACACCTTACAAGTCAAGGAGCTTATCCCACACTGGTGTGAGGAATGGCTTATTCTGTGATGACCACATGTGAGAATATTTCAACTGCCACTAGAAATCTCAGAAAGGGTTTTTTTTTTTTTTTTTTGTAAAAGTAAATGCAACATGTAAACATTCAGGATTGATCCCAATCTTCTGGAGCCAGCTCCTCTGGGGTCAGGGAGGAAATATTTTGTTCGATAATCACCATGCATTCATCTTCCATTGGAATGACTAGAGCCCCCCAGTGACCAAACTACGGAATAGTACAGGACTGGCTCCTGGGAACACAAATAGGCTCTCTTGCCTCTCCTTATTGGTCACATCTTAGCATGACTCCTCCCTATCCACTAGTCAAGCAGGTTCTTAGTAATAAACAAAGCACTAGCAAAAAACCGGAGTTACTATTCAGCTCTCTTGGATAAGGTCTTCCCTCGCTTGGACTGAGGACCCATGCCCCAGGGGTGAGATTCTAACTAGACTGCATGAAGGGAGTGGGTGCAAAATGGCTAAAATGGCTAAAATGAAACTGGGAGCCACCGGTCTCCATCTGCAGCTACAACTTAAGATGCCTACAGATGTGGTCAGTGTGACATGTGCAGAGGAGAGATACAGAGGAATGGGAAGGGCAGGGAGGGTGTCCTTGGGAAAGTAGTCTGCCTGCTCGCCTTTACTTCTTAGCCTTGCCCTGGGCAGCCACAGCCTCCATGGCTTTACGTACGGTCTCTTCATCTCCCAGGAACTGCATGGGCTTGATGGGCTTCAAGTTCTTGTCCAATTCATAGACAATAGGAATACCAGTTGGCAGGTTCAGCTCCATGATAGCCTCTTCAGAGAGACCTAAAAATACCCATCATGATTAGCCAAGCAAGATAAGACTCCACACCACCCTTCCAGTTTACTATTTATCTTCCAGGTGACAAACGGCTTTGGTGGGAATTAAACCAAAACACCCTTTTTAATATTTGTAATAATACTAATGATCTGTGTTATGAATCAAGCACCCAAGGAATGCCCCCAATACTTATTTCTCAGCCACCGAAAAGCAAGAAAAAAGTATGAGAGATGTGTACTGCAGATTATCTCTTCCAAGTGGGACCAGAAGCCCACAGTGAAGCAAGACTTACATCTCAAAAGTCCTATGTAGTCCAGCCAGCCAGCCAAAAATCAGCACATCTGGGCCTCTAGGCCGAGTGAAACAATTTAAGATGCAAATGTGAGGTTCGTGTTTGAAGTTGGACCAGGTCGTGATTAAGGAGGATTTTTATCAACTGGCAATCCTAGTCTAGAAGTGGGCAGCTCAAACTTTAATGTGTATCTGAATCACCTGAGTTGACAGATAGCTTCTAAATCAGGTCTGAAGTGGGACCTGAGGTTCTGCATATATAGCAAGCACCCAGGGTTACGGCCGCCTCTGCTTCTGCAGAAGACACTGAGAAAAGTAGAGGGTTTGTTTCTACTCGGAATCAATTTAGACTATCTCTAAGGCTATCAATGCGTCCAGCCCTTTCTCATTCCTACTAAGTCCCTGATTAGTGGCAGTTCTGGTTTATCCCTTGACGGCCCCTCTGAAAAATGTACCTACCCTCCAAGTGCTTGACAATGCCCCGAAGGCTATTGCCATGGGCTGCAATCAGTACCCGTTTCCCCTCCTTGATCTGGGGAACTATTTCTTCATTCCAAAAAGGCAGAGCTCTGGCAATAGTGTCCTTCAGACTCTCACAGGAGGGTAGCTGATCTTCAGTGAGATCTGCATACCTTCTATCCTAAACAATAAAACATCCAAGTTCATCAATTATTAACAGTTGCATCTGTTTTCCCTTTCATCCCCTCAGGGGTCAAAGTGATGGGTAACGCTCTCTTCCCTGGGCACAGAATACAGCTAGCTGAGAGCTTGAAAAATGGGATAACTATTATCCTGCCCCTCCCTACCCCGTCACCCACTACTGGGAAGATTAATAACAGTTCAAATGAACACATAACTTAGAAAAGGAGGGGGGGAAAGTAGGCTACAAGGCTCTTCCCAATTTACTTTATCTTGCAATTGGCTTAGGACAGCCCTAGGGCTACAGATGGGCTTTATAAATTATGACAGCGGAAATATAAAATAAAGGCCACATAAATTGTTTTTAGATAAACAACATAAATGATCAACTAAATCTTTTCACAAGTGAAGGCCACTCCTTGGAGAAGAGGGGTTACAACTAACTAAATATCCTAAATTATAAATTCAGTGGGACTAGGCAGACACTAATAAAAGCTAAAGAGTGAGGCCCAGATTCTAATCCCCTGGTCCTGGGTGAGCCAAACCTTAGTATGTCCTTACCTTACTGATGTTGCTGTAGAAGGGATGGTCGGGTTCCATCGGAGGTGGTGGGATATCATAGGAACGCCTCCAGATCTTTACCTGGGCCTCGCCATGCTTGGCAGCAGTTTCTGCTTTATTAAGGCCAGTCAGACCCCCATAGTGCCGCTCATTGAGGCGCCAAGTCCTCACTACTGGCAGCCACATTTGGTCAATGGCATCCAGCACTGTCCAGAGGGTCCGAATTGCTCTCTTCTGCACTGAAGTGAAGCAGATGTCGAACTCATAGCCAGCATCTAGAAAATTTAAGTTCAAAGTGAGAAGCTAATCAAGCCCACTCTAGAGCCAGAATCTTCTTAGATATAAATCTCCTGTACAGGTAGTCCAAATGAAAATTATTTAGCTAAATATTTAATTTTGTATAGCAGGAAAAAGAATAAATAATAATAGCTAATATTTATAAAGAGCTTACCATCTGTCAAGCACTGGACTAAGTACTTCGTATATGTTTTATTTAGTCTTCATAACAATCTCATGAGGTTATGATCCTTACAACCTATCTTACCAGATGAGAAAGACTGGAGAAGTTAGGCAAATTATGCAAGGTCACAGACAGCTATTACCTGAGAGAGATTAAAATCCAGGTGTGTCTGACTCCAAAATCCAACTCTTATCCACCATCTCTAGCTACCTCCATATTTTCCTAAACCCTAAAGATCTTGATGTTTGTATTTTAGCAAAACTGTCACCTCTTATTGATAATTACCAATATATTTCAGTCCTCTAAACCTCTGGTCTATGGGAAGTGAGATTTTGAACTCCCAACAATCACGACATAGCAAGAACTTCTAGAGGATGCTGATAAAACTTCCGTTCATTGCATGAAATTATATGTTTCACTATAGTGTAAAAATCACATCACAATCTCTTCATCCATAGTTCCTCTCTGCTATAGTGAAAGTGCCAGCCTATTCCTAAGTCCCCTGGGAGGAATATGTGTGTGTGTGTGTGTGTGTGTGAAAGTATGTGTGTGTGCGCGCGCGCGCGCACACGCACACGCTCATGCCTAGGCCAACTGTTAAACCAAGTTTAGGAGAAGCCACTAACTGGCAAAAGCCAATGCTATGTACTGTGTAATTCATTTATGAAAGAATCTCTCCTCTACACAGTAGTTATTGAGTGGTAGTCAAGAGTTGTGTTGGCCCAACCAGTAGGTTACAATGATTAATTTCCATGTTTCATGAAAGATTCTTCTCCCTCCCACTTTAAGGGGAGATGGCCCTTATGTAGTGAGCCAGAAGAAACAGTTGTTTTCCTCCATAAGGCTACAAAGGCCTCTTTGAAATTCAGCACTTTTCTGAGTACTGCTTCATATTGAGGTTGCCAACAGTCATTAATAAAATGTGAAGTGAATTACTCTGCCAGTCATTCAGTCGAGAATGAGGCCTATATGAACTACACTAATGGGAGAAGGGAAGATTAATCACTAGGAAACCACCACCACCCACAAGGGAAAAGATGACGGATCTCATCAGTATGCCTCAGGACAAGTCCTAGTAGACTCAGTTACCATCTCCTCCCTAACCTAAAGGGAAGGAAAGATGCCTCAATAAAAGGCTGAGTCACTGGGAAGCAACTACCCATAGTGCAAGCCTCAGCTCCCTTGCTGAGAAGCTACTGGTTGTTTCACTTCAATTATTTCCACTTGCAATAGAATACACAAATTGCATACACAAATAGGTCCCCAAGGAGAAAAGCCAGTTCTCATTAGGACTCTTAACTCTAAAGCCTCTTCCTTTAACTTACCCATCAAGCAAAATCTTAGTCTAGGAAACTGCCAGGAAAGGGGCTGACAGTGTGGTGTGGACTCCATCCTCCTCCCCCAGGAGTAAGACTGCATGGGTGAACTGTTCTCACTAGCTTCCTACTGAAATCTGATTCAAGATCGATAAACCCTACTGTTACTTAAAGCCCCGGTGAATTTAATAGATTTTGGGTCTTTTATATTATTAGATTATTCACATAATGGTCCTCATCATTCAGTCATTCAGTTTTCACTTTTAGTCTTTTGTTTTTTAATATAATCATCTGTGATGCCCATAGTAGATATTAAGGCTTTAAAAAGGATTTTTAAAAACTAATGCTACTAACATTTATTTAAGTGAAATAGGAGCTGTTATTTTAAAAGGATACAAGTTCGAGAGGACAGTTACAATTTCTTTGTCCTGGGCTAATCATCGGCAAACCACCCCAGTTCTTCCTGCCAGGCAGCAGGAGAGAAAATGGCCTCCTTTACCAGCACTTTCCCTTTCTTGGCTCTCCTAAACAGTATAAGGTCACACCATGCCATCCCAAAACATTCACACACTCTTGCAGCAAGATTACATGTGCCAGACTTTCCAAACCTTAGCTTCATTTCAAAAAGGTCTACAGTGAAGGCAAGAAGCTACAGAGAGCAACCTGGAGCCAAATACTTGTTCCACATCAACCAGGCAGCAGTGACCCTTTTAAATGAGTTTTTTTTTGTCCAGAGGTTAGAAGGGAGCACAGGGCCAGATGTGCCCAAATCATAAGTGAAGGCACCTCCTCAGTCCAAAGATTCTGCAACTGGCCGGCAGCAGGGACTGCTCCCTTATTAGTACTTCAAAATCACAGAGACCTGTCTGCCACGCGGGGCGATCCTGCCTAGGCAAGCTTATCTCACTGCCACTTCCACCTTCACCCAGCGTCCTTGGCCAGCTGCCTACCAGTTCCTCATAATACCCTTTATGGCCAAAGTGCTGGCCTAGGAATAAGAAGATATGACCTTGCACAAGTCATCTTTACAATCCTCACTTTCCCAAATATAAAAGAGGGCCTGGGAGGGTTGAGAAGGAAGGGCATAAAATCTGTATGCTTAAATCATTCATTCATTCACTCAATTATATTTGCGGATGGATTCTGGGCACAGGAATTTGTGAAATGCTGCTGAGCAGCAAAGACCTACACAAACAAGCACGTGCATTTCTGGGTATC